CTTTCCAAAGAGCCAAAGAAAAAAATTACAAAGATGATTTTTATGCTGATGGGACAAAATTATTTTGTATTGCTTGCAGACATGTAGTAGACCATAAACGAAAGTCAACAATTGACAACCATTTAGAAAGTAATTCTCATAAAAAAAATAAATTAGAAATACAAAATTCTAGCAGAGCTATACCAAGACAACAAACCATCACTTCTTTGCATAAAAATATATCTGAACGCCAAGGGATTAATATAAATCTAGTAAAAACACTTGTAGAAGCAAACATACCTTTGGAAAAAATTGACTCTTTGAAATCATTTTTTAAAGAAAATTTTAAAGAAGGTAATTAATTTTGATAAATAATTTTAAAATATTGATAATTTGATAAATAATTTAAAATATTGATAATTTTAAAAAATAATTAACAGGAGGAGGTATTGTGGGCTCAAATCAATTACATGAGCATTATTTACCAATAGTTTATGAGCAAGCAATAAACAAAATAATGAATGAAGTTAGAGATAAGCATATTTGCATTACAGTTGATGAAACAATGGATGCATGTGGTCGTAGTGCAGTTAATATTTTATTTAGCTATGGAAAATATACCAAACTAGTAAAGACCTCTTTTTTAGAGATTGTCAATTATTCAACAATCTCCCAATTAATCATTACAACAATTAACTCTTATAATATTCCTTATGATAGACTTACTTTTTTAATTAGTGATAGTGCTTCTTATATGTTAAAAGCATTTAGAGATTGTTTATCACCTTTAATACCTAATTTACTTCACAACACTTGTTTTGCTCATATCTTTAATTTAGTGGGGGAAACATGGATAGATTTTGATGACTTTAAAATATTAGATCAGGTAGTTGGTTTTATTAAATCAGCATTTGTACATAGTGGTAGAAGAAAACAAAGATGGCTACAACATTTGACAGAGGCAAATAATTCTGACAGAGATTCAAAACTTCCACCTTTACCAGTTAAAACTTGCTGGAATAGTTGGTTTAATTTTGTATTTTGGTTAGATGCTAATTTCTTACATTTGGTTTCATTTGTTCCAAAAGAATCATTAATTTCTGATGCACCAAAATCAATCATGCAATTAAATGAAATTTTTTCAAATCCTCATAAAATTTCTTATTTACATTTAATCATTAAGTTTATAACTTTAAATGCAAGAAGGTAATAGAATTTTAAATTTTAAATCTTTTTTCTTCCTAATTATGATAAGTAATTACTTTAAAAATAAAAATAGATTGATCCAGGACTTAGAATTTTTTAAAATTCGTGACAAGGCTATAGCACCTTATGTTTTCTTATGCATTGAAAATACAAAGAATTTATTAAGAGCTGGCATTGAAAATCCTCCCTTAAATCAAAGTATGATTGATTTATGTAGAATTCAAAATGTATCAGAAGAATCTTTAATACCAACATTTTCTCAAGCCTTTAACCTTGCCTACAACAAATTATATAAACATGTTAATAGACATTCAGCATTACCACTTTTTAAAGAAATCCAATGTTTTAATCCAAAATTTATTAGAGCTTCTTCATCTCAAAAAAATATTTTGTTATATTCATTTATCAAAGAATTTATAAATCCAGAAGATGAATTGATTAATGAATGGAGTATTTATTGTGGTGATAATGAATTTTTGGAGGAAAATTTAGATTTAAATAAATATTGGAATGATAAACAACAAATATTACCATTACTTTCTAGGATTGCTTTAGAGTATATA